CTTACTCTTCACGACAACAGTAGCTCCTGAATACAAAACGAACCAAAGCATGAAACAAAAGGGAAAAAATCCAAAAACCACGAGTACACATACACACAAAAAATAAAAGCAAAACAAAAAAAACAACATTCATGAAAGCACATACACAAAAAAGTAAAGCAAGAAGAAAAAAATCAGCATCCATGAAAGCACACACACAAAAAACAAACAAAAAACAAAGTAGTAAAGAAAAACAAAAACCAACATCCATGAAAGCACATACACAAAAAACAAAACAAAAAAGTAAATCAAAACAAAATCCAACATTAATGAAAGCACATACACAAAAAACAAAACAAAAAAGAAAAGCAAAAAAAATAAAAACAACATTCATGAAAGCACATACACAAAAAACAAAACAAAAAAGTAAATCAAAACAAAATCCAACATTAATGAAAGCACATACACAAAAAACAAAACAAAAAAGAAAAGCAAAAAAAATAAAAACAACATTCATGAAAGCACATACACAAAAAACAAAACAAAAAAGTAAATCAAAACAAAATCCAACATTAATGAAAGCACATACACAAAAAACAAAACAAAAAAGAAAAGCAAAAAAAATAAAAACAACATTCATGAAAGCACATACACAAAAAACAAAACAAAAAAGTAAATCAAAACAAAATCCAACATTAATGAAAGCACATACACAAAAAACAAAACAAAAAAGAAAAGCAAAAAAAATAAAAACAACATTCATGAAAGCACATACACAAAAAACAAAACAAAAAGAAAAAAAGCAGCATCCATGAAAGCACATGCTCAAAAAAAGAAAGAAAAATAAAAGCAAAAAAAATAAAATAAATAACTATATTCATGAAAGCACATACACAAAAAAGTAAAGCAAGAAGAAAAAAATCAGCATCCATGAAAGCACACACACAAAAAACAAACAAAAAACAAAGTAGTAAAGAAAAACAAAAACCAACATCCATGAAAGCACATACACAAAAAACAAAACAAAAAAGTAAATCAAAACAAAATCCAACATTAATGAAAGCACATACACAAAAAACAAAACAAAAAAGAAAAGCAAAAAAAACCAAAAAAACAACATTCATGAAAGCACATACACAAAATGTAAAGCAAAACAAAATCAACATCCATTAAAGCAACACATGCACAAAAACAAAATGAACATTTTGGATTACCGACAAAAAAAAAAAATCATACCTCTTTCAATAGCACCTCCGAATCCAAGGGTAAAGCCAGCACTGTGATACAAGGGAAGGCAGATGTACACCACATCATCAGACTTCAGACCGCAAACGGAAGGAAAGAAGGACATGGCCCACAACCGCCGCTGAGCAATCACTGCTGCCTTTGGAAGACCTGCAGGGGACACGGCTCATGAAATCCACTCAATTAGTAATTACAGATTTGTCATTTTGCCGACACTTCTGTCCATTCTCTCTGGTGCAAAATCATCCTCAGTCAAAAACAGAGTACAATAACGCATCAGTCACTGAATCCAGTCTTACCCGTCGTGCCTGATGTGTAGATGTACACCGCTGGGCTGCTGAAGGTGATGTTGGCCCTCAGGTCTGCAGGAATCGGCTCATCTGAGGCCTGCGCGATCTTGTCTGTAAGACTCTCCATTCCCTCAGCGGTCACATGGTCAGTCAGTATATAGACAGAGATTCCCTGCTCTCTCAGAGCGGGCAGCACCTCCTCAACAGAATCCTGCAGTTCTATATGAAGGGTTTTCAACATACGAAATATATATGAAAGGGATAATCTATGGCTAGATGCGAGTTACACCATTTTAATGCACAATGTGGAGGCAAAGAGCGATGGAAGCTTGTTTCCACCATGGGATTAAAAAGTTAAATAATAAAGGTAATTGTGAGGTTTTGTTTAATCTCACAAGTTTATATGAGTTTATATCTCACAATTCAGACTTTTTTTCCGAATTGCAGAATTGTTTGGTACAAACAAGATGAAAACTGTTTTAGTTAAATTCTGAGGGAAAAAGTCTTGTGAGATGTTAACTTGCAATTGCAAAATATAAACCTGCAATTCTGAGAAAAAAAAAAGTGGAATTGCGAGAGATTTTAAAATAACGTGCAATTCTGAGGAAAAATTGCGACTTGCAATTGTGAGATAGCCTATAAAAATTGCGAGACGTGAGATATAAAAAGTTTGAATCATGAGATAAAGAGTCACAATTTATCTTTTTTTTTTTTACCCACAATTATGCAGCCATCTGATTGCAGGGGTGATAAAACCAAATTAATTTAAGGCCTTAATAATCAGAATCGAGTATTCAGACATTAAGTTTGATTCATTTCGTGACACTTCACATGACAGAAGACAGCGCGAGAAAGAAGGAACAAAAATAAATGCAGCAGACCTTTAAGCAACAGATCTTTAAACAAGCTCTTTAAAACTACTTTTGAAAATACACAGCGCTTTAAATGCGCGATGCCGAGTGTTGAACACCCGTGAAGATGGTCGCAACGAAAATATTGCGGGGGCGTATTATTACAGTAATATGCAGGCAACGCAAAAACACAGTCATTGAGGTGTTTTTCTTGGAGTTATGCAGCACCTATACAATCAGGTAACACCAAAGCGTCTCATTTTCTACAGGAAAAAAAAAATCTTAAAAAGTTCTTAAGATTACACGACTTCTTAAGATTTTTTTAGTAACTGCACTTAAAATGAATATCAAAATATGCATAAGAATGTTTGTTCCGAAGACATTTCTTAACTATTTTTTTCTGAACAATTTTTGGGGGGTCTCTAAATAGTTCATATACTTCCATTTGTGTTAATAAAAGTTAATAATAGTGACAGTGTAACCAGCGTGGGTGAGAAACGGGACAAGGAACACGGAGTCAACAGCTTTACAGTGAATACAGTTACTAAGCACTGACTGCATTTGACAAATACACCTTTGAACTGTTAGAGTGACATTACCTGCACCAGCTATCAGCACAGTGGCCCCACAGCAGGTGAAGCAGTGCACAAGTGATTTGGATCGGATGTTATGATTGAGAAGAGCAGCAGAACATCCGATCTTGGCCAAAGCCAACCATATCCACAAGAACATGGGCTCATTTCCTAGGAGGAGCGCAACTGTATCTCCTTCATGAAGATCTGCGTGCTTCAACAAACTCCTCGCGATCTTATTACTCTGTTTATCCGACTGCGCATACGAGTATGTTTCATCCTGGAACCGAATGAACGCTCTGTGTGGGTTCTTCTGAACCGAATCCAAGAACCGATCCACTAAACTATAGAAAGGTTTGGATTTGAGATATTTAGTCGTACGGTATATAGATCTTGCTATCCGACACATGTACTTGGCCTCTGCGATAAAGTAAGGAAAACGTAATCTTAAGGCAAATAAAAGTAAAATGGCACTTACAATAAACCAAAACATCATGAGATCCGATTCCTTTCCGTAAAACCTTCTTTCTAACAGAGCGCAACATTTAGATAGCTATAAAGGTGAGTGTAGGCGGGGCTTCGTTTTGTGGGAATGGAAACATACCTGGAGCTGATAGCTATTAAATGAAGCGATATCGACACGGCGATATTTGAACAGTTCGCGACGCTATAAACGGCAACGCTTGCATTATCAGAGAAGACCTCGAGACTGTAAACATGTAGACAACCCTGTTAGCATATTATTTATCTTTTAAAGCAATTAATAATACTATGTTTTAAGAAATCAACCCGCTATCACCTTATCCCATGTAGGTTTTTTTTTTCCATAAGATGACAATTTTCCCCCTCGTGTAATGTCTACGTAAACTGTTACTTTTATCCCAGACTATATATAAAATGTATTAATTTAGCTTGATATATCATGTTAATAAATTACTTGCGTAATATTTAATATAAAATATAGTGATAGGACATAGTGTATATATATCAGTGTCTGTTGTAAAGAATGGCGACGAATTAAAACATTTAATTCCTTATGCGTAAACCATGATTTTCCTCTTAAATTATTGAAATATTGTATTCTGTCATAATAGCAACTATTTTCCAGGAAGCTATTTAACTAAAAGCTGAAGTTATTTTTTAATGACTTGTTTTTAATCATTTATCTTGTGTTGTTTTCCCCATAACGTCACAAACTTAAAGAAATACTTACTATAGTAAGTACATGTAAATTAAACCTTAACCGTGTAGCAAGTACATTTATTAATATTACTCAGTATTGTGTAATTACAATGTAACAGGCACCTTAAAACAATGTGTAACAAAAAAAAAAAAAAAAAAGATAAATAAAATAAAAATAAAAAATTGTTTCCTTCTGGGAAAACAAAAATATTAGAAAGAATATTACAGCCCGACACCATTCAGCATTCTTTAACAATAAGTCAGGCAGGTTTGGCACGTGAGGGTGAATAATCTATTGCCCAAATTCCCTTCAAAAGGTCAACCCTGTTATCATGATCATCAATAACTGAAAAGGGGTATTTCTAAAATACAAGCATTACATTTTTCCAAGGAGTTTACTGCAGTTTTAGGTTAAAATGGCATGCGGTTTATGAATAGAATTTATTTTACTCTTTATATTTCATGTGATTTATAGTACAGTGTACATAGAGTGTATATCTGACAGATACACTATTTGTCTTATACTTAAAATGTCACCAAAATACAACATTAAAAACGACCTCAACTAACCAAAAAAAGTTAACTAACCATTTCCTAGAATGACCCAGATGAAGTTTAACAATAAGAGCTCGGTTTCATCTTTGACCTGATCTTATCTGCCAGTGGACTTTGACTGGAGACTCAACCTGAGGAATATAACACATCCTTAAGGATAAACCAGTCAGGTGTCTGGAATATAAAATAACGATACACCGTCACTTTGTTCTTTGTGTTTTATGCAGCATGTTGAAAATTATGATGGTGAGGTTTGTTTATTCAACACAGAAGCCTAAATATCTAGCGTGAAAGCAGATAATAGAAAAACAGTTTAATTAATGTAAAACTAGGATGCTTTATTAAGTAAAATTTATAACAAATTCATGCACGGACAGTACAATTGCTAAAACGAGTACAAAAGACATTTGGCTCAAGCAAGAAAAAAAGAAACCTTGCACAAGCTAATCATTTTTTAGCTCAGGCACAAACAAATCAAAACTTCATTTCTGAAGCAGTGCCAACAGGCTGTCGAACCCACTGTCCTGCTGACACACTTTCAACTCCGAAAATAAGTTCTTTGGACACATTTTCCGGACCCCATGTCCCTCAGATCCAGGGATTGGCTCTCTGTGTTTATCTGTTCTCCAGTCCACACACACATTGGGTTTAGCGTAAGAATGGAGGCTTAACGATCTCCTTGTGTATCGTAACATCAGAGCTATCGCCGATGGAGCTTCCAAAGTCCAAACCGCCGTTAACAGAGAATGGCTTCCCAGGCTCTGGATAGGAGGAGGTCAGGTGAATGTTGTTGATGAAGTTAGAGCGGTTACTGGTTAAACTCCAGTCGCTCTGTCCGTCATCGCGAACGGGAGCTTCTTCGATCAGGAAGGACTGGACCGATGATGGTTCTCCAAAACCCTCCGTGAACATTTCCCTGCTGTGCTTTCTCAGTGTGACATTAGGGGTCCTGACATCGCTGTTAAAAACACTATCATGTGCAAAGTGTGTGTGCTTTTGAGTTACCTGAGCAACCGTAAAAGTGCCTTTGGATCCACATACCACTGCAGACTTGAGGGAATCCGGTTCGATGGCTTTAGATCGGACCCCTTTCTGTTTAGCCATCTTGGATGTGTAGTTAGTGTCCTTTAGATTGTAGATCTGATGGATCCGTTGGTTCTTATCATCCTTGAGGGCTTCGGCGCCCAGCACTTTAGCAGGAGAACCGCTGGTTTCAATGTCCGTTTTGTCAGGCCCACCTAAGCAAAAATCAGTTTTCCCAGATGAAAGCGCCGTATCATGCTACAGATGAAGGCTTGGCTGAGTTGAGGTTTTACCTTGAGAGTTCTGGGTTCTCGAAAGCTTGCGTTTGGCCACTGGGATCTCCAGGACTTTGGCCATGGCGGCCAGTTTGCTAGCAGCATTTATTTTCTTCTCCGCTCTGGAGAAAGAAAAGGTGTAGAATGAAGACTTCAAAGCATAAGAACAGAGAGATGATGATGATTTGTGGTTCCTCGTACCCTGCGGCCTGGCCTCCGTCCTCCAGCAGCTCCTGCAGGCAGGTGAGGTAGTACCTGCGCATGCGTCTGGCCGTGTCCTGTCTTTCCCTCAGGACCTCAGTCCTGATCAGCTCTGCCGCCCGCTCCTTACTCTCCTGCAGGTAACGCAGCATGTCGCCTACAAACACATTGAAAAATCAATTAAATAAAGTATGAGTTGTGGAAGCTACTTTATTAACTATTAGCTTCAGTTTCAAATAGTTAAACTGCAGACATGCCCGCTTCTAGTTAGGTAGGGTGTAACTTTAATAGGGTGCAAATATACAAAACTAAAATCTTTATTTATTAATTATATAACAACAATTGTTAAATTAATAAAATAAAAATCACTTATCTAAATACATCTGTCAAAAATAACGTTTTATTCTTTTTTTTCTTCTAGACCATTTTAAAAACAAAACTTTTTAAAGTTTTTATTACTCCTTGACATTGTTTTTTTTTGTGAAGAAGAAGAACATTAATGTCTTTATCAAGGTCTTGAATTCACCTCTGATTTTCTCCACTGCTTTCATGTATTGCTCCTTTATTTCCTCAAGACCTGCTTGAAGATTCTGCTGGCTGACTGAACCGCTGAAACATTGATGAAGACTCTTAGTGTTTCTCTAAAACCCGCGGTGCTCATAGTCAATGATGTGCTCTCATGAAAGAAATCAAGCAAACTTCAAGTGTTTACAAACCTTGAAAGTGCTTCTGCATTTGAGGTTTGTTTCAGTTCCTCAAGGGCTCTGAGATGACCCCGCTGCTCCTTCTGCAGGACTGCCTCGTGCTCATCTGATTTGAAAAATAAAAACAAAGATTACAAATCGCTGTCTTCCACATGCTGCTTCTTACAGAGGCCCATTTGTGCCAATTGATAATAATGTAAGAAACTAATTATCAAATAAATGAACTGAGAAACCAAATTCAATATAAAAAAAAAATATCGTTTAGAAAGTTATTCAGGAAAAAAAAATCTCTAAACAAAGTATAAAATAAACATTCACTTTGATATAAATAAAAATCATGAAATCATGAATATTCAGTTTAGCAACAGATAATACAAGAACGGTGAAAATATTGCTGTATTAATATATTTTTGTCCTTTTGCCACTTGTGAATACAGAAAACAAGAAATGATGGGGAGAAAAAAAACTGTGCTGTTTTTGTTAACAAACTATTAAAATATGTACATATTGTAATTTAAATAAAGCTGAATTAAAATACAAAATAAATATTAAATGAGTAATTTAAAATTTAGCAAAATTAGTAATGTTGCCTTAGCAACTAACTGAAATAAAATAAAATAAACTGAAATAAAAGTTGAGGTACTAACATTACTAAAATAAAATAAAACTACATTAAAATATAAAAACCTAATAAAAATGACAAAAGTACATAACAGAATTACCAAAACTTAAATTAAAATGAAAACCGAAAATCTAAAAATAAAAGCCAGTTGAAAACATTAATAAACACTATATTAGTATATTAATATTACTAAAATAACACTGATATTTTACAAGCCATATTTGATATTTTCCCCCTCAATAATGTACTGGCTATACATAAGGGTTCCCACACATTTAAACAATTATTACTATTATTATTTTCTAATTTATATCCTTTTCACATTTTCGATGACTGTGGAAACCCTAAAACATAAGAAAAAGTATTTGTTTAAAAATGTGAGATTTTAGACGCTTTATAATTTACTTAATAAATATATCATTTTCATAATTAAATTAAATGATCCTTTTAATAATTTACAATGAGCAATACTTGATTAACTGACTTAATTAACCCAATTAATTACTTTATTTCCCAAAATGATTATTGAGAGCCATATGACCCCCCAGTTTCCAAAATGGGAGAATCTCTTAATAAGACTTAAAAGACTAAATATAAAGATAATATAAATATAAAGAATAATAAGCAGCACCTTTCATCTTCTGCAGGGTGTTTTTGTGCTCTCGTACGGTCGTCTGGAGCTGCCGGCAGACCTTCTCTAGATGTCTCTGGGGCTCTTGATTCTTCTTCTGGAGTTTGGCCACAGACTCAGCGCATTCACTCTGCTTCCTCTGGGCCGTCAGACCTGCTGCAGGGTGAGGAAGCGTGAGGAGGGAAGCGCCGCTGATCCAGCAGTGTGTGAGGTGAGCGGGATGTGGGTCTTACCCATCTCTGCCTCATGGCGCTCCTGGGTTTCCTTCAGCACATGTCTCCGCTGGTCTTCACTGCTCTGGAGTGTGAGAGAAAGAAAGTATTTAGCGTGTTTCTCTGGGCGGAGATTGATGATGATCTAGAGGCTGTATAAATATGATGACTGTTCTTGTGTAATAAAGAAGAGGGAACTCTCTGGGTGCAGCTGTGCTCACTGCAGTGACAGTAGATTTTTGATTTGTCTCAGAAAGCGGACACGCACCTTCTTCCACTCCTGCTTGGCTTGGTTGACGGCTTGACTGAGTGATTCTCTGCAGATCTCCCAGACTCTGGATCTAATGGTTCCTGGCGCACTGCTGAGCGTCTGTTCTTCTCCACTCCTTCTGCTCTCCACTCGCTCCTGCAGCACCTCCTTTAGATCACCGAGCATCTCCTCCTGCAGTCTGCAAAACAACAGTGCTCCTTTAAAACATACATTCATAAACTCATGTTTAGAAGGTTTGTGTACAGGAGTCAAAAGACTTGGCTTCTATTGATTAAAATGTTATTTATGTGAAATATCAGTAACTGTTTACATTTGTGTACTTCACTATAAATAAATATCTATAGTATTAAAAATATATTTACATAAAGCTCCACAAAGTATGTAGGATAATATTAAATTTTGTTGATCAGTGTATTATTGTATCATTACAAATTTCATATAAATCTATTTCAAATTTCTTAATTTTATTCAAAATGTTCAAAAATTTTGCTGTAATATAAATGAACAGCAACATTTAATAAATATTATACACTTTATTATTAAATAGAAATATATATGTGTGTGATTATTAAAATATTTTGGGGGGGAATTTTTGGGAACTGAAATCAAATAAAATATAAAAATTAGGGATGCACCGATACCACTTTTTCCAGTACTCGCCCGATACCGATACTTTTATTGGGGGAATTTTTGGGAACTGAAATCAAATAAAATATAAAAATAGATAGAAAACCTAAACTTTAAAAGACTTTACAAGAAATTAGAAATATTGCCATTGCCACTAAAAAGTTAGTTAAAAAAAATGCTAAAATGAAAAAAGCTAAAAAAAAAAGAAAAAATTAATTTTAAAAATTAAAAAAATGACAAAAACACATAATAAAACTACTAAAACAAATGTAAATTAAAAAAAAAAGCCTATTCAAAATACCAATAAATATATAATACAGTAGAAGTGTATCTTCTACTGTATTATATATTTATTGGTATTTTGAATGGGCTTTTTAAATAATGAAATAACAGAAAATTGTATTAAAATATATTTGTAGTGCATAATACATACTAGACAGACAGACAGACTTGCGACGCTGCTATTATATGTACTTGCTAAGGTATTGTAGGTAGTTTTAGTTTGTTGTTTTTTGGCTCATGTCAAAAGGGCCCTGCTTAAACAGCATTATGTTCAAGCGTGCCTTAGCAAACCCTCCTAATTACGGTGATTATTATGAACCTGATCTCTTGTTGATCCCTCCACTCCTGCTCCTTTTCTCTGAGATTTTCGTGTAGCTCTGTGTCTCTTTGTTTGTCGGTTTGCTCCAGGTTCTGCTCTCTCTGGAGCTGCCCCCTGAGGCGGGACATCTCCTCCTGCTTGTCTCTGATCCAAACGTCTAGGGCTGCAGCCAGCTCTGCTTTCACAAGGGCAGCCTGCTCCTGGCACAAGCGCTCAAGTCGAATGCTGAGGGTAAGCGCTTCCTCCTGGAGCTCCCTGTTTCTCACGTTACACTGCTCCAGTTCAGCGCATTTGGTGCGGAGCGTGTCCTGCCACCTTTCCTCCACTGCCTTCACAGCCGAGGACACCTGGGATCAGAAGGTGAGTGTAGAGCAGTTGAGAAAATAAATATGAAGAAATCATTTCAGAATGATCACTACAGCAGATACCTGTTCCTGGACATGCTGCTGTTGAAGTCGCTCCCATTCATCTTTTTCCCTCTGCAGGCTGCTTTTGTATTCTGAGAGGGAGGTCAAGTCCTGGAGCCATCGAGAGCGAGCCCTTGATATCGCACCTTCAACCTAGGAAGGCAGAAATCATTATTAACCCTGTAAAACCTGACAAATAAAATAAAAGTCTGGAATGGAACATATATAGGAAAAAAAAAAACAGTCCAAAACGAATCAAAAATATGCAATTTGGTGCCGTTTTTATATGGCCTTTATTATTATGACGTGCTTCCATTAGGCGTATTTTTAATTCGCAATTTCAATTTGTGCAATTTGAAGGGTAATGGATACACAGCTGGTGATGTTTCAACTGTGGAAAGACGTCAACTAATAAAACAGCATGTAAACAATAATGTCATATAATGTCACAATTACCTCTGGGAAGCCATTCAACGTCCATAAACCTAAAATTCTAGAGAGGAGCATTTTTCTAAATATATGCACTATATTTTAACTGGTCCGGTTGTCTTTATTATTTAGTGCATGTTTGAAATGAATGCATTTGTTTTCATGTTAAGAGCTGTAAATCGGTCACACCTGGAGTGTGATGTCATCAGTATGTTTCTGCTGCATCTCTCTTTGAGCGTCTCGTACTGCTTCCTCCACGGCTCTGGCCTGGGCTGTCACAGCCTCCTGCTGCAGGGTCTCCTTCTGAGCGCTGAGCCGGACCTCCAGCTGACACGCTCCCTCACGGGTGTCTGACTGCCTGGCCTTCCTGACCTCTTCCTCAGCCTCCTGTAACCGCTGAGCCCAGGACTGCTCCAGCTGGCACAAAGACAGACAGAAAGACAAATCAAAGATAGGCAAAAAGACATGCACATAGACAAGAAAGGACAAGCTGACAAAACATATATAAATAAACAAAAATAGACAGATGAAACAGACAGATAAAATATATAAAAGGCAAAATATAAGAGCATTTGACCTACAGTCAAACCAAAATTTATTCAGACACCTTCAACATTTCTCACATTATCACAGTTTATTCGCTATAGTTTAGTAAATGGTAATAAAATATGACAAGAACTCAGAGTTAAACTGTGTCAGAACAAATTCATCTTGATAATGTCAGATAACTTTGATAGAAAGGTATATAATGAATTTGGTTGAGTAGCTGTCGGCTGTTAAATTTAAGTACACAATTAGACAATACCAATTTAGGTCAACCAATTACTAAGCAATGCTTCATTTTGTTCAGTCTGGTGTGTAAAAAGTTTTTTTTTTTTCAAACCTTTGAAAAATTTTTTTTTTATAAATTTTACTGGTAGTCCACTGTATGAAGAATTTTTGGTATATAGTAGGGATGTCAACGATTAATCGATGATCGATTAATGGTCGATAAGAGATGCAATCGATTAAAGCGATCGATGGTCGATTAAGCAATTTAATTTTGGGCTGCGTGCTGCTCATGCGCAAAACACGTGCGAGAAACAAATAGGCCTACCGGAACGCAACATTTCAAAATCTGACATTTTCCTGAACAGGATCCAGCAGGATCAAATTAAGTACTGGTCATAATACACACATAATAATGTTTCATGTGAGCAACGGTGTGTTTTGCTGCAGCAGAGCCGATGGAAGCGGTTCACTGACTGCGCAGCACAGCCACACGCGCCACAATTACGTTTGGGATCATTTTATTTTAAATGCCATAATGTCAGTTGAAAACATTGCAATTGTGTTTTAAAATACAACAACGAGCACCACGAAACCATTTAAAGAGGCGCGTTCAGCGGTCTCCATGTCGGGATAGGAAACAGTCAACAAAGTAAAATGATCTCAAACGTACGGCGCGCTCTCTTCATTTTATCAAATGATCATAATCACATCTATTCATTTTTTGGGTTTGCTAAGGCACGCTTGAACATAATGCTGTTTAAGCAGGGCCCTTTTGACATGAGCCAAAAAACAACAAACTAAAACTACCTACAATACCTTAGCAAGTACATACAATAGCAGCGTCGCAAGTCTGTCTTTCTATCTAGTATGTATTATGCACTACAAATATATTTTAATACAATTTGGGGGGTTTTAGACGCATTTTGCTGCATTAAAGTTAACGATTAATTGATCGTTAATTTAAACGACCATCGAAAATTGACATCCCTAGTATATAGTATGTCACAGTTTAATTTATTTTGCTATCCTCACTTACATAAATGAAATATAGTGTCCTGCACCCACTAGTAAAAAAATATCAAAAGTTATCTGGTGTCTGAATAATTTTTGGTTTGACTGTACATCTGAATGGCACAACAGTGACATTTTAGTAAGATCAAGCTGGCTTGACACGGAGTAGAAAGATGATTGATGTAAACGACCCATCATCACTAACCGTCTCCTGCTCCTGCTGCCAGCTCTTCCTGGCCGTTTCCAGCTGCTCAATCTCAGCCTGTGTGTCTGTCTCACACTGGGCTTTGAGCCGAGACACGTCCTCCTGATGCTGACGCTCCAGATCAGACCTCAGTCTCTCCAGAGCAGCCTCACTCTCCTCTCGCCTCTTTAACTGAAACAAGACACATGATCAAATATTAACAGTCTCACATGGCCACACTTTTGACTCACATAAGAAAGTTCTATCTCCTAATTAGACAGGAAGAGACTGTCTAACCCAAGGACAGGAGGAAAGAAATTGCAGTAGTAGCAATAATAATAATAATAAAATATTAACAAATTCATATGCATATTACTTGACTGTGTGTGTGTGTGTGTCAAAATAATACATTTAATTAAAAATATAAATCTGTCAATCAATCAATAAATTAATGTATTCACTATCTAGTGCTTACCTCATTTTCTTTCAATCTCCTTTGTTCTTCAAGCTTGTTTTGGAGATTTTCCTCCAGCTTGTCTTTCTCTTTGCAAACAGAAATGTAGCATTCCTGCACAGCTAACACCTCGTGACTGAGATCAGCCAGCTTTGACCTGTGGATGGACCCAGTGTTAATACAAGTCAGTTTCTGCATACTTTATGAAGGTTATTATGAAGTTTGTTTAAAGGTGGAGGTGTAGTGCAGTACTGGAGCTGTTGGAGGTGCTGCTGATGCTGGCTGGAGAGTTGCTCTATGTGAGCCGTGTGCTCCTGTGTGAGCTGCTCCCGGACACGATTCACCACGTCATCTCTGAACTGCTGCGGAGTCCTCTCATCCCTGCACACACAGAGCATTTCACTGATCAAACACCACAGAAGGTGCACCAGAGTGGAATTAACTCTCACTTTAGCAAAACGAATGGATGAGTGACCTCTCTGCTGCTTCCTGTTTCTCCTGGTCCAGCTCCTGGATCATCTCCCTCATCTTGGTGCAGAGCTCAGAGTTGGCTGCCTTCACCTTCTCCTCACTCTGCTTCAGCTCCTGATTGCTCTTCTCCAGAGCCTGCCGTTCACAACTGGGGTTGACTAGTGTAACAACTAGCTAATTGAATCATGACTTTTTAAAACATGGATCCAGATCAGTGTTATTTTAATATTATTTACAAATTATTATAGTCTTTATTAATATTCAGAATTAGTTTTGTTTTTATTTTCAGTTTGTGTCATTTGATGTCATTTTTAATTGTTTAAAATGTATTTATATATCATTTATTTCTATATAATATACACATATTCAGTGCTATATTTCTATAATTATTTCTATATATTTAAAAATTTTAGTTTTACTTTTTACTGTAGTACTTAAAAATTAGAAATGTTGCTTTGGCAACTAACTGAAATCCAATAAGTTGTCTTTTTTTAAAATTATTATTATTATTTCAGCTTTATTTCAATTAACCAAAAATTATTTTGATACTGTCTGTATCAATAAATGGAAAAAGGCCAAAAACATATTTATACAACCATTTTACCACCGTTATCTGTTGCTAAACTAAATTTGTATATTTGAATTTTTTTATGATTTTAAAAAAATAATATATATATATATATCATGTGATATTTCAGTTTTTTTTTTTTAATAAATCTGCAAAAATGTCAACAATTCTGTGTTTTTCTGTCAATATGGGGTGCTGTGTGTACATTAATGAGGAAAAAAAATTAACTTAAATGATTTTAGCAAATGGCTGCAATATAACAAAGAGTGAAAAATTTAAGGGGGTCTGAATACTTTCCGTACCCACTGTATATGAAGAGTTTGGTTCCACTCACTGACCTCCACTCTCTCCTGCAGGACCTGCCGTTCCTCCTGCAGTCTGATGAGGTCTTTGTGAGGAGCGGCAGTCATGTGAGATGTTTCCATGCATTTCTCCAAGCTGCTCTCCCTCACCTGCAGTAAACGCACAAGGTGTAAGTCTAGCATCTACTACAGCACACAGGTTGATCCATCAAGCACTGATTTGCTGTAGGTCAGACCTTAGAGTCCCATATGGTCCTCTCAGCCTGCTCTAGCTGCGTCTGCAGCTGTTCTGCTCCGGTCTGGGAGCGTCGCAGCTCCTCCTGCAGCTCAGAGATCTTCAGACGCTTGGTCTTCAGGTGACTCAGGCAGCACTGCAACTCGCTCTTCAGCTCTCGCACCACGTCCTCCTTCAGCAGGTTGGAGTCTCCTGCTTCAGCAATATGAGGTTTGCTGGAAAACAAAGTAATTGTGAGATTATAAGAAGCTTGAAATATGAACACTATAGCAATACAGTTTGGATTGTTATTGTTCAATGTAACGTTACCTGTGCATTCGTCCATTTCTCCACTTGGACTTCTTGATGCCCAGGTCCATGTAGGACTCAGACGGCTGGTTCTCCCAGTCTCCATTAGACCCCAGGGCTCCATGGTTAATGGCAGACTCATACAGATTTATCTGCTCCTTCAGATCAGTCAACTCTTCCTGTTGAGAGAAGAAACACATGGGCTCTGTTTTATGGACAGCTTTAATGTTTCCCATTATTGGCAATGCTGTCAAACATTAGTGGACTGACTGACCTGCAGGGCTTTGCTGATGTCTTCGCTGATAGCGCGGGCAGACTGGGCCTGCTGGAGCTTCAGCTGTAACTGACTCATCTCTTGAACAGAGCCTGCAGAGAATAAAAGAAGCTTTGACAAAGATGTTACAGACACAAGGGAGACAAAACTTCAATGAATTCATTAAGGGAGAGACTGAAAACATGATTTTTCTTCTTCTTTTAAAACAAAAGAGCTACGAAACTAAGTTAAGACCTGCAACCTCATATATTGACTTAAAATGGTACAAAAGTACAGAATATGGACCGTGGAATATGGAATATAAGTAACATGAGTAAATATAAATAAATAAATAGAAAAATTTGCATTTATGCTTATTTTTTATTATTATTTATTTAAACAAAATATAATTGTAATAAAATATACTTGACATTTGAATTAAAATAGTAATACAAATATAATAAAATGTTTCAAATATATAGTATTTTAAAAGAACACAAAGTAAAAAAGAAATAAACATCTAAATAATTGAAAAAAATTAGATGACAATTCTAGTTTTTTTTTCATATTTCATAATATTCTCATTTAAAAATAAAAATGATAAAACATTATCCTTGATTTTTATCAAACAACAATAACAAAATATTTGTAACATTTTTAAGTGGAACATAAGAGGTAAAAATAGTACAATTTAATAAAAAGAAAAAAAATCAGACAACATTCTTATTTTCATATTATGATATAAAAATTAGGGAAGGGTATTTTTCAAAAATATTGCATTAGAATATTTGAGCTCATAAAAACGAATATTCGAATATTCTTTTATTTAAAAGACGTTCAATGAGAAAGACGTTATTTTCTAATCAAACATTATTTTTGTCACCATTTCTGAACAGTCTTATCAGGCAATATTCATGACAAATTTATAAATTGTATATCGGTTTTTTTTTTTTTTTTTGAAAATTCAACTAATTAAATTAAACAATGTGCAAACAAACAAAAAAATTTACAAAAAAAAAAAAGCATTCAATGCAGAGGGAATGGAATAAAACAAACAGCTATAAAACACGAGTCTGCATATGGTTATTGTGTTTGCATTGTTTTACATGTTCTTGTTGGAAAGAAAAACGCACACATGTACATTATCATGATCAGGTGAAAGTCGGCTCCTTATGCCATGTGTCCACCAAGGCTTTTCAATGCCAGGCGCTCTTCTGAAAATGCCCAGCTGTGAACGCTTGCGAGCGCTATGGTTGCTGTGATACAGAATAGCCGCTGAAGTAATGGGGCAGACGCATCATAAATGGCGTTTTAAAAAACACAGCGCTCTCATTGGAAACTATTGAAGAAATATGCTAGCCTGAGGAAAAAAAACACTTTGGTGGATACTGTTAACAATAAAGCTGGCAGCAGAGAAAATGAGTGGTCTTCTCGGCTCGCTCGGGGTACATCTGCACCTAGCTGCAGTAGTGAATGCAGTGATGTGCTGCTGTTTTCTTAATTCGACTGGCCATGACGGCCCGGTGTTTGCATTTCATACGACTCCCCATTTTAGTGATAACTCAGTTTCACTTGACAAAGATTGTGTGCTCAGGATTTACTGCATTTACAGCCAGCAAAGCAACATTTTAGCGAAATCTGAAGTGTTTTTATTTGTATTATATTATAATGGAATAGTATAATATTATGCTTGTTATAATAATAAGAATAATAAGAATACTATACTTGTTATTATATTATATAATAATAATAATTATTATTATACAAAGATAATCAAATGTTTTCAAATATTTAATATTTTAAGGGGAACATAAGTAAAAAAAATAAAATGAAACCAAGAAAAAAAAAAAGACATTATATAAATTTGTTTATTTTAATATTTTAATTCTAATTTTAATACAATACAACATTATACTTCATTTTTAATAGTAGTAGTAATACTACTACTAATAATAGCTATTATTATTATCATTATATCCTTTATGGAAAGCCCATTTAAATAAACGCCTTTTACAAATATACACAACATGTGCCCTGGATTTTATGTCGTTTATAAGACGATTTGAAAAAGTGAAGGCCCCTGATTCTGTGTACCCGAGTCATTGTAGTTTATCTGAAATGTTTAAAGAGGTGGTTGACTGGTTTTGTTCTAGGCTTGATTGTGTTTATGGGGTGCAGTCTAACATGTGTTAATTAGGGCTGTCAGTTTAACGCATTAACTTAATTAATTAGTTATGAAAAAATAACATGATGAAAATTAGGGATGTTCATTTTAACCGTTTAACCGACCGTAAGAATTTTGACCGATTAATACAATCAGTTAAACGGTTTAAAAAGTCATTTAATTATTTATTTTTTCAGTAATTTATCAAAATATTTAAAAAGGTTTGCTGCATGGTTAAAATACGCTACGCGTATAAAAAAAAATGTTTTTTAGGGGGAAAAAACATAAGTCGCGTATACGTCGCATTTTATTGTTTCATTCAGAAATGCCTAATGCTGACGCGAAATGTTCACAAACATTATAAGCTGTGATACAGAATAGCCGCTGAAGTAATGGGGCAGATGCATCATAAATGGCGTTTTAAAAAACACAGCGCTCTCATTGGAAACTATTGAAGAAATATGCTAGCCTGAGGAAAAAAAACACTTTGGTGGATACTGTTAACAATAAAGCTGGCAGCAGAGAAAATGAGTGGTCTTCTCGGCTCGCTCGGGGTACATCTGCACCTAGCTGCAGTAGTGAATGCAGTGATGTGCTGCTGTTTTCTTAATTCGACTGGCCATGACGGCCCGGTGTTTGCATTTCATACGACTCCCCATTTTAGTGATAACTCAGTTTCACTTGACAAAGATTGTGTGCTCAGGATTTACTGCATTTACAGCCAGCAAAGCAACATTTTAGCGAAATCTGAAGTGTTTTTATTTGTATTATATTATAATGGAATAGTATAATATTATGCTTGTTATAATAATAAGAATAATAAGAATACTATACTTGTTATTATATTATATAATAATAATAATTATTATTATACAAAGATAATCAAATGTTTTCAAATATTTAATATTTTAAGGGGAACATAAGTAAAAAAAATAAAATGAAACCAAGAAAAAAAAAAAGACATTATATAAATTTGTTTATTTTAATATTTTAATTCTAATTTTAATACAATACAACATTATACTTCATTTTTAATAGTAGTAGTAATACTACTACTAATAATAGCTATTATTATTATCATTATATCCTTTATGGAAAGCCCATTTAAATAAACGCCTTTTACAAATATACACAACATGTGCCCTGGATTTTATGTCGTTTATAAGACGATTTGAAAAAGTGAAGGCCCCTGATTCTGTGTACCCGAGTCATTGTAGTTTATCTGAAATGTTTAAAGAGGTGGTTGACTGGTTTTGTTCTAGGCTTGATTGTGTTTATGGGGTGCAGTCTAACATGTGTTAATTAGGGCTGTCAGTTTAACGCATTAACTTAATTAATTAGTTATGAAAAAATAACATGATGAAAATTAGGGATGTTCATTTTAACCGTTTAACCGACCGTAAGAATTTTGACCGATTAATACAATCAGTTAAACGGTTTAAAAAGTCATTTAATTATTTATTTTTTCAGTAATTTATCAAAATATTTAAAAAGGTTTGCTGCATGGTTAAAATACGCTACGCGTATAAAAAAAAATGTTTTTTAGGGGGAAAAAACATAAGTCGCGTATACGTCGCATTTTATTGTTTCATTCAGAAATGCCTAATGCTGACGCGAAATGTTCACAAACATTATAATAAACACTGTGAACATAGCTAGGCTATTTTTGTTCCCCTCACTCCAAAACAAATCCTTTCAATTAACAGTATTTAGAAAAGAACAAGAATGATTTCTGAATGAATCTCCATTTTGAACGAATCGTGTGAATCAATGATTCAGTAGCTCATTCATAAAGAGAGTCGTTTACTGAATTCCTGAATGATTCAGCGGTTTGAATGAATCGACTCATAAAGACATTTACTGCCATCTGCTGGTAGCTTTAGTTTCTTCTTTAGATTATAATTTCATTTATTAAAAAAAATAAAAATACATAAAACATTAAAGGGATAGTTCAATGAATTCTGTCATCATTTACTCACCCTCATATTGTTTCAAACCTGAAAGACTCACTTTCTTTTGCACAACATAAAATAAGTTATTCTGAAGACTGTTGGTAACTAAGCTGTTTTGGTCACTAGTGACTTTCATTGCATGAACAAAAAAATACTGAGATGTTTCTCAAATTATCTTCTTTTATGTTCCATACTTTTTGTTAGGCCATTGTAGCCTTAACATTTAACACAATAATAGCTTTAAATTATCTTTTGGGGGTATTTACACAGCCAAATTAGTTTGCGATTAATTAATCGCAGCACCCTGTAATTAATTAGATTAAAAATTTTAATCGACCAACAGCCCTAGCGTTAATGCTTCGTTTAAAAAAAACAAAAAAAACATTTTTCACATAATATACCTTTATTCTATACCGCTCTGTCCCTTCTCCTATAAAAGCTCTGATGATTTCCTGGTTTAATGAAGCCCCTCCCTCAGAAATACGCAATATGCTCAGATTAGTTAGCTGGTCCAGTGTGTTGTGATTCGCTAAACCACCAGTGCGCATCTAAATGTCACACCCCTCACCTCGAGTGGCATGCGCTCCGCTTGTGTTGTAAACAATGGCGTCGTCAATATTGCTTATCAATTTGAGCCCGATTGAGACCCAGAGAATATTAGTGAAGAGGATTGCGCAGAACCTGTGCAAGCACGGCTCTTACAGGACGTTTCAGAATGGTTTGTTTTTTGTTTGTTGTTGTCTCATACTTTTAGATACGCTGTTATTTGTAAATGCTGCTGCTTATGTTAGCTTCTAATATACGGTTTTATCCTGATTAAAGCTTCAATACAGCAGAATATATGATTGCGTTTTAGCATTTTTGTAACAGTAAGAAGTGTTCGCCAGCAAGTATTGCTCGCTACCACGGCAACTGCGTGCGCGGCCGTGTTTAACGCTTCTTGTAGCTATGTAAAAAATATCTGTCTGAGAGAGAGATGCAGAGCAGGGGACGTGAGGAACAGTATTAAGAATCGCTGCTTTAGAACACTGATTTTGAAACTTGTGAATCCATTAGAATCGTTAAAAGAATCGCGATTCATATATGAATGGATTTTTTCGTGCACCCCTAGTTTTGACGGCATGGCAACATCTCTTCCTCTTCTCTAAAGCAGTGCAAGATGGCCCCGCCCCCTTTGTAGCATGTTCCTGGGGGTGGGGTTTATGTAAATTTCTGGATTTGTGACATCACAAACCCGGGAAGTAACTTTTTGTAGTCCCTACGAGCCGTTTTTGTAGGCATTAAACTGACAGAATTTTAAAAGACGATATCTCCGTTTGCACTGAACCTTCAACATCGTGACTTTGCAGATATTGTTTATGCTCAAACAGCAACATTACACACTAACTAACGTTAAAAAAGTGAAATCACAATCAACCACCCCTTTAAACTGTGTTAACTGCAAAAGAAAAATATGACTGGCCCATACGATTACCCATGAGGCTCGAGCAATCACAACAGTAAAAACAAACAGAAGCACATGGGATGCCACATACCAGTGTGGAGCAGTTTGGCACACTGCTGCTGGCTCTCCTCCAGGCGCTGTGTGAGGGTGTTGATGACAGCGGCTCTGTCCACCTGATCCTCTTCCCTCTGACGCTCCAGCAGCCGGACCTGATCCAGCAGCTGCTGGCCCGCCTCAGCCTGACAAACACACACACACACACACACACACGGTGAAACCGCAGGCCTGCACTGCCCTCTGTTGTAAGGGATTAATCCGCACTCGGGAATAATTCATATCTACATGTATCTGACCTGCTCGTTCAGACTCTGTGATTGTGTGTCTAGTTTCTGCTGAAGGGTGAGCAGTTTGGCTTCGTACTGCTCCTGGATGGCGGCCATGTCTCTATCGTGCTGCTCACGCGCTCGTGTCAGAGTGTCTGAGCGACACAGATCCATCATCTGCTGCTTCATGCTGTCCATCACCGCACCGGCCACATGCTGCTGCTTTAGGCTCTGTGTACGCACACATTTCCTCTCTTATAGTAGTAGTATATTTTTATTTAATGCCATGTCAGCATCTTAGGCTATTTAAAAAAAAAATACAAGTATAACAAATACAATAAAAACCAGCAAACAAACAAACACAAGTTATATTACACAAGATTTTTTACATTAACATATGATAAAAAATTCGAAAACTTTTTCTGGCAAAATTGTACTAAATAACTCTTTAAAGGCACAGTAAGTGATTTTTCAAAAACACTTTAGAAAACTGATTCGGGCCGAATCGCAAAACAAACTTGTAGCCAATCAGCAATAAGGGGCGTGTCTACTCGTGATGTGGAGGAGAGAGCTTTCAGTGCATGGGACGGACATTAGCCGAGCCGAGCGACAGAAAGATAGAGATGGCGGATAAAAAACAAAAGAGGAAAACGTCTGCGGAACGATAAGGCAAGAAGTAGGACCCGTGTAAATATCGGATCAGCTTTCCAGCGCTGGAGAGAACTCAAGGAGCGGAGGCCTGCGATCGGACGCCGAGGTTGCTTTGTTTCTTTTACATCTATCTTTATAAATATACATTTAGCCTCTTTTCTGTATCTCTCACATGCTTTTAGGACCGAATTTTGTCAAAAACATGATTATGTATGCACAAACACACTATAAAACAGACAACAATAACAAACTATGAAATTAACTACCGCCCAAAGGGGTGCAGAGCAAAAGTTCAAAGACTACACAGTCTAAATTTGAAAAAGGAACGAAGGCTTAAAAAAGGTGAAGCCCTCATTTCATTCTTTTGCCACCTAAACCACTGCAGCATGAAAACGGATCATCTTTTTCACCATAAAAAATAAAGTTTAATTCGTAAAATTTATTTATTTAGTTTGAAAATATTTCAGAGTAACTGATGTTTTCTGATGGGTTTTTTTGTAAGAAAAATAATATGTAGGTGTTAAAGGGGTCCTATTATTCTCTTTTACAAAGTCTTGGTTTTGTTTTGGGGGTGTACTAGAACAGGCTCTCCCCTTACTATAGCCACCTGCGAGCTTCAGTGTAAATATTGCGTCAATATCAAATCAATTTGAGCGCGATTTAAACCCGGATGATTGTACCCACTCTAAGTTCGTCTGCCTCGGGAAAGCTAGCGTGTCTCCATATAGTGATAACACTCATTGCCTTCTCTAGTGCAGCTCAACCAGGTCTCGTCCCATTCGTCGATATTTGTGATATCACAAATCCCGGAAAATATGCGTTGTAGTCCAAACGAGTCGTTCGTTGTAGTTTTTGAAAAGTGATTTCTGTTAAATAAAATATCTCCTTTTGAAGTGGACTTTGAACTTTGTAACTTTGCAGATCCTTTTTATGCTCAAACAGCAACATTACAGACTAACTAAAATTGAAAAAGTGAAAAAGCATAATAGGACCCCTTTAATACTGGTAAGTAGGGATGCACAGAAACAAAAATTCTTGGCCGAAGCCAAAACCGAACAAAATGAAACACTGGGCCAAAGGCCGAATACAGTTTTTCGCGTTCCCTCCAAAATGTGTTTTTTACTGTTTTGTCTTGCTTTTCAAATAAAAAAGTAAATTCCAAAACAACAATTTTAAAATATTTAACACATTAAAATATTTGTTTAACATTTTATATACCAATTATACCAACAAAGCACAATTTTACTTAATTTAACCCCCTTCTTGAATTAGGCATGTGATTGGCTAAAGACAAAAAAAGAAGGAAAACGGGACACTTTGAGCAGCAAATCATCATATTAGAATGAGCTCTGAAGGACATGTCACACTGAAGAGTGGAGTAATAATGAAAATTCAGCTTTGATCACAGCATTCAATTACATTTTACTAGATTCACATACAAAACAGCTATTTAAAATTGCAATATTTCACAATATTACTGTTTTTGTATTTTTTACTGTACAAATAAATGCAGCCATGCTGAGCAGAAGAGACTTCTTTTAAAACATTAGAAAATACAACAGATCCCAATTTGAACACTGTGTTAATGTTATAATAAATATATTAATAGAGCTGCTGTAATTATTATTATCTTTATTATTGTCTTACTTTATTTTATTTTACAGAACAACATTAAATTACAATACTAACATTTATGAATGTTGATGGAGCTTTTATTTTGGCAGAAACCCGCAGGAAGACCTCAGTGATTCTTTTTGTTAACAACAGCAGATTTATAAATGATTCTCATTACGAATTTGGGAAGATGTTTGTCGCACATATCACAATGTCACATCCATGCCTTGTAAAAATTCATAAAAATATTACTGAGCAATGACGACGAGTAACAGTGTTTCAGCGCAGATTTTCTTTGGGCTTTGGACTTTGAACCCTGGCTAACAAGCAGATAGAGCCGCAAGCTCATGCAGAGCTGTCATGCAGTTTGAGGGTGCATTAGAAAACATAACATTCTGCAGTTTAATAATTGTTTAAGGTTATTTCGCAATTTCAATCATCATACAGTAACCAGCAACAACCACCCCCTCCTCTTCTCATTGAAGACATGTGATGCAGTAAACAGTCTCTCTCTGTCGGTGCTTGTAATGATTTTTACGTCTTCTCTGAGTTTTAAATGCTTCCACACTACTGTCATGTTTGCTGCATTGCGCCTCTCACTCTACGCTGGTTGCTGTTTGATCACGTCACCAAAAATGTCATTGTTCGGTACAATTTATTCGGTCTTTTCGCTTATTCGGCCGAACACTGAAAGAGCTTTTTTTTTGTTATTTTTGAATGAATAATTTCAGTTGCCGAACATTCGGTGAATTTCAACTGTTAAGTTTCATGTTATACGTTGTTACAAATTTCATTTAATGCTATATTCATATATATATATATATATATATAT